CGCCTCCGTCAGTGCGCCCCAGAGCAGCTGTGGCTACATTGTAGCTCATCCCCACCAGCGTGTGAGTGGGTGATGGACTGATTGTGTTATGAAGCGCCTTGGGGGGTTGTAGAACCCTAAGAAGGCGCTAATACAGGCCGTTTACCACACTTGTCAGTCATATACTCCCTGGTTTCTGCGGGTGGTTATAAGAAGCTCGGATTTTTCCCTACCTGAGTGTAGCTTGCTATTTTCCTAAGTTTAGTTAATAAAGTTTTTTGTACTGAACCCTTTTCTCTTGACCCTTGGCCCATTTCTGCTCCCAATTCTGAATCCAAGCATGAGAGCTTATGCTGTCAAGGTTCATTTGATTTTGTTGGGACAGGATTAGATTAGACTGGTGACAGAACATGTGTAGGTTGGATTTCCTCTGCACTCGGAGCCATCTGATGTTCCGATGGCCCAAACACATCGTTGACAGCCGCGACTCCTTGAGGCAAATGACGGGAAAAAGAGAACAAGGCTGTCAAGTCGTGTCACCTCCCTCCATCTTTCCCCTCTTCGGAGCTCTCTTGTCGCTCTTGCAGCTGACAGGGTCTTTGTTCATCTCAGTGGTGAAGAATCCATCGCAGCCACGGGAGCGCTGAACTGGAACAGCTCGAGAACTTGATGTAAAGATAGATATCGACGAATGCTCTAATTAACCATCGGGTTCCCAACTGCTGCAGAGGTGACGTCTTTATCAAACTAAAAATCTACTTTTTATGACTGTCCAGCAGGAGTTTGACCTGCCCACCGCGTTAAAACACCACAGTGATGATGATGAACTCAATGGCACGTGCAGTCGTTTGGATTAAGAGTCAGTCAAGTGTCACATCTGATAACGAGTCGTATTGACACTTACGCACCGGAGATCATTTGACATCCATCTCCACGAACTCCTCTTTGAACAGCTGTGACCTGGTGTTTGATCACACAAACAGTTTAATTGCACCCGTTTAGCCAAAAAAAAGTACAAAAAATAAATAAATTGGGTCCAGTTGGTGGCGGCGTGTCAGTGATTGGTTTCTTGCATGGCTGTAATTAATCAGAGTTAATGCTGACAAAGCTTTCAATAAATCCCTATTGGACATAATGTAATTATTCTTTTAGATTGCATTGTGTTATGTATGAGCACGTCTTCCCGAGTTCTCAAGGTCGGAGCAGAAATCCAGTCGATTGATTGGTGGCTGAAGTGACACGCATCATTTGGCTGATTATCTGTTTGGGAGACTCTTTCCCAGCATATAATTATCTGGATCTCGCAGATCAGTGTGACATTTCAGTCCTGGAACTGCAGATTGATTGCATCAATGTGGTTGATTCTTAACCACCAAATGCAACGCTGTCCAGATGTATGCGCCTTTTGTCCTTTTTTTAGGTTCTTGATAACAAATTTTAAATATGTACATTTTGACTGAGATACGGCTGCACTAGTGTGACACCTTGTGGTTTTCTGATACTGTAAATGTAATATTTCATTAGTGATGGCTATAAATCCTTAAAGATACAACGACAAATCTGCAAAACAAGCTAGCTTAACCTCCTGGGACCCACACTTGTATTTGGGTTGATATAAAGGAAAAAACCTATCTAGCAGTAACAGATTAGTCGACTGTAATTAACAGAAACAAAGTTACAAAAATTTAAATTCAATAAAATTTAATTTTATAAATTACCTCTGATACGGGCTGTTACATCCCTGTAGGACCGGTGTCAGAGCTTGGTCCGCATTGCCAGCAGTAAGTCGGGCTCGTTCCCAGTAAGAGTTGGACTCCGCCAAGGCTGCCCTTTGTCACCAATTCTGTGCATAACCTTTATGGACAGGATTTCTAGGCGCAGCCAAGGTGTGGAAGGCATGCGTTTTGGTGGCCTGAGGATCAGGTCTCTGCTTTTTGCAGATGATGTGGTCCTGTTGGCTTCATCAGAACATGATCTTCAGCTTTCGCTGGAGCGGTTCACAGCCGAGTGTGAAGCAGCTGGGATGAGAATCAGCTCCTCTAAATCTGAGACCATGGTCTTGAGTCAGAAAAGGGTAGAATGCCTTCTGCAGGTCAGGGATGAGGTCCTGTCCCAAGTGGAGGAGTTTAAGTATCTCGGGGTCTTGTTCACGAGTGAGGGAAAACTGGAGCGTGAGATCGATAGGCGGATTGGTGCTGCATCTGCAGTGATGCGGGCGTTGTACCGGTCTGTCGTGGTGAAGAGAGAGCTGAGCCAGAAGGCGAAGCTCTCGATTTACCGGTCGATCTACGTTCCTACCCTCACCTATGGTCATGAGCTTTGGGTAGTGACCGAAAGAACGAGATCGCGGATACAAGCGGCCGAAATGAGTTTTCTCCGAAGAGTGGCTGGGCTCTCCCTAAGAGATAGGGTGAGAAGCTCGGTCATTCGGGAGGGGCTCGGAGTAGACCCGCTGCTCCTCCACATTGAGGTGGCTCGGGCATCGGGTCAGGATGCCTCCTGGACGCCTCCCTGGTGAGGTTTTCCGGGCACGTCCAACCGGGAGGAGACCTAAAGGTAGACCCAGGACACGGTGGAGGGACTATGTCTCTCACCTGGCCAGGGAACGCCTTGGGATTCCCCCGGAGGAGCTGGCCCAAGTGGCTGGGGAGAGGGAAGTCTGGGCCTCTCGCCTTAGGCTACTGCCCCCACGACCCAACTCCGGATAAGCGGATGAAAATGGATGGATGGATGGATTAATTTAATAATAATGTTGTCAAATATCCTGAAGAAAGAAAGACAACAAAAATATTTTAAGATTAAAGTCGACATCAAGTGTCTATAAGTAATAACAAAAAGGTCTAAGAAGAAGAGAATAAAATTTTTAAGTGCAAGGAGCCAATGTCCACATATGTGGACACAGGGCTTTAGGAGGTTAAACAGTTTAATGCATCTTAAGGCAAACGTAGTATAGTTGTAACTATTTAGAGCTAATTAAAGAGCAGGTTCAATGAGAAACAGTTTTTTACTTGTTGTTTTTGAAAATGATCAGTCACTCTGAGTTTGTCATGCAGGCTGAACGTGAAAATAGTCTCCTGCATTAGAATCTGATAGAAAACAGAAGAGAAAGCACCAGGTTCAGAAATTCCTGACAGATCTACGTCACACTGTCACTTAACATCTTGACTCGTGACGGGGAAGGCTGTTGTTGGTTTCACGTCCAGGAAATGGACTCGGCTGTAGAAGCTAACCATTAGCATTAGCAACTCCACCACACAGCAGAACTCCTCCAGGTTTGCGTTATTTATGCAGATAAAACATCTAGAGTTGCATTGCTGTTAGCCAATCAGAGGCAAGGTGTCTTAAGATTAGGAAACAAGACTTCAAATCCCGTCGTCTTCCTCCACTTTCTCTCCCAGCTGAACTCTGTCCTCAAACAGAAACTGGAGCTTTTGTCCTGAGAGGACAACTTACAAGACATTCATTCCTACAAGAGACCACTGCAAATGTATTTAAAATAAGAGTAAAATTGACCTTTAAAAAAAGGCCTTTATCTTAAAACCTCAGCCAATAACATGGCTCGATCTGAAACCAAAGTGCCCATGGGCAAGACACTGCCTCGTGTGGTCTGTCAGATCACAAATCCAGAAACGTTTGATTTGAATCATTTTGACAAATAAAATACCTTTTTTTTTTACATGCAGCATGAAAGGCAGAAAGTGTGTGATCCCTCGCCTTGATATTGGCTGAAAATGGAAGAGCATTAGCACCAATCAGAACCATTAGAGGGAATTTGCTGTGACATGATTTGATAAAACAGGCTCGCCTCACTCAGCTGATGATAATTTCTCTACAGGCAGAACGAGTGAAGTAGTACGCATTTTAAGGCTCTTGTTTGATCCTGTCAGCTAAAAGCGTATGTTCTTTTCACAGGAGCTGCAGGAGATCGTGTGTGTGTGTGTGTGTGTGTGTGTGTGTGTGTGTGTGTGTGTGTGTGTGTGTGTGTGTGTGTGTGTGTGTGTGTGTGTGTGTGTGTGTGTGTGTGTGTGTGTGTGTGTGTGTGTGTGTGTGTGTGTGTGTGTGTGTGTGTGTGTGTGTGTGTGTGTGTGTGTGTGTGTGTGTGTGTGCGGATAATCTAATTATCTACAGAGAGAGAGTGGGCTTGTTTATTATCAAGTCTAATTGTGTTGTGCCTGTGACATTTCATTATCAAATGCTTTTGGTCTGTTGTGGAAAATTCTTTTTGTGCACTTACACAACTCATAACACACTCCCCATCGCTCCACTTGTGTTTGAGTACATTAATATTATTTTATTATTATTATTATTATTATTATTATTATTATTATTATTTAGAAGATATTGCCTCCACCAAGCAACACTATGTCCTAACTAACTCCAACAGCGACATGTTCCCACTTTCCCCATCATTCAGAGGTTATTTTGGTCATATTGTATCACCCTAATGTTTGCAGCACTTTGGTGAAACTCCCAAGCAAACATTCAATAAATCACAAATTTCATTTAGAACTAAATTAATGTGCAAAAGTATCAAGTCATCCATAGCCAGTAATACAATCAAAGGTTTGCAAGGCTTTGTGAAGACATCTCAACGTCTCATTTTCAGTTCAGCCCTTGAGCATTTTCAAAGAAATACTCTTTATTGGTGTTTTTATGCCACATTACAATAAACAATTAATCATTTAGGCATGATAATGCTCTTAGACTCATGCAATGAATCAGTGTTGGCTCATGACAAACAACTTAGCAAAGATCCTGCTGTAAAACAGCTCAGATCCTTTTTGTAAGGCTGACACTTCCAGATTTTATCCTTTTTTTAAGTACAGATATTTTCAAGCAGAGAATTTTGATCGAGACATTTTTAATTATCAAAAGGAGGTTTTTTCTTTTCTAGAAGCCAAAAACAAACCAGGTGTGGCTTAAAGCTTTTGCACAGTTCTGGAATTTCACTCAATGACTTTACATCCCATCCAGCCACCACTTGTGGGACTCAGTAACCCTGTTTTCTTCTTTGCCCGCAGCTCTTACCGCCTGGATAAAATCAACAGTGACATGCATAACTACATCACCAATTTTGCTGCAGACTTGAGGTGAATACAAGCTGAGCACCTCCCATTACCCCCCTGTGTCGTTGCTGTGTAGCAACAGCCACACCTGTCCTGCTGAAGCTCTTAACACGAGTGCCTCAGAATAACTAAAGACCTGAGAGGTCAGGGTGTTTCTCAGTGCCAAGGAACCTTGCCTTGATGTCTTGGCCCCGCCCCGGTTGCCGAGGAGATATGTCATCGGGAGCCGCCAAGACATGTTCCAATGTTCATTTTCTACCGAGGCGTGTGTTCTCCGTTTGTTAGCCGTTTAGCTAGCTGAGCGAGGATACACGGGAGGTGTCTTGTAGCCTAGCTTTGGTCAACAATTACTCACAATACATCGCGGTATTTTCAAAAGGACAGCGGATCAGAAGCCGACAGCTACTTCTGGTACAATTTTCAAGTTTAAAAGTAAGTCAACTAATTAAAAATGTTTTTTTAGATCCAAAGAAGTTCTCTATTTTTGGTTAGTTGTTTAGTAAGTTGCCGCTTCGACCGCCGTGGAAGCCGCGGTCATGTGATGCAAGTCAGTTCCATTTAACCGTTTTCTTTGACCAAGGAAGGACAGCGTCCTCGTAAGCAAGGCGCCTGGCCTCACAAGACACCGCCTCACAAGGCCAGGCGCCTTGACATTGAGAAACACCCAGGGAAATCAGCTGATCAGCATCGGAAGAAATTATACACTATTTAAAGTAGTCCTAGAGTTTAAACCACGTTTACCTTGTTGCTAAAAATAGACACCTTGAGGTGTCACAAGTAAGGTTCCCAAGTATCTATGCCTTCTACGACCTGCTAATGTTCTAATGACTGCAGAGGAAAGGTCAATTCGGGAAAAAGCTAGTTTTACACGTCATAAGCCAGAAAAACCGCCGCACACTGGCATGTCCCAACCAACTTCAATATTGGCAAGAAGTAAACGTTGGCCGTAAAGAGAACCGCAGAACAACGCCAACCCAAGCTACTGCAAACTCTAGCCTGCTCTATTGCTAACACTAGCCTACTAAAATCCTTGTTAGACAAGAGGAAATCAACAAAGAGGAATGTTAAACACACGTTCCAGAATGTACCGGGAATAACCAGAATTTGAACGAATTCCAGGTAGATCCACCACCAGAGTTTAGCGAAGGGGAGACTGACTCCCCTGAAAGGGTGATGGGTTCCCCTTTGAAACCCTCAACTTACACACCCAGGGGGAGTTTAACAAAGATCCAGTTTCTACCTATATTTCATTATTTCTACAGCCTCTCAGCGTACCAGGGATCCTTTTGGAAGGAAAGGACGGATGTTGATGCGCTCCAGGCAGCTGCGTCCTGCGCATGGCCACAGTAGCATTCTCAAAGTGGCGCCACCAAAAGCATATAATCACCACACATTCACGTCCACGCATATTCTCTGGTACTTTCTGTCTTTTATTCAAGCCTGACGTACTCCACTGCTATGGAGCTCATCACCCGTGCTCCGATGACTTCACCTCAACGACGCGACCGCGTAGTGCGCACTTTGCTTTTTTTATGGTCGGTAGATCTCTTTGATCTGCTTAGTTCAAAAGTAACTCACGAGGTGAAAAAGGTACACATTTTATAAGCATGCAGTATTTATATATTGGATACGATTCAGATCACCTTCAAAAATCCGTCCCACACCCAGGGCCGTTTCAAGGCATATTGGGGGTCAAGGCAAAGTAGGCACCCCCCACCCCCGTCTGACTGGGCTTTCCAGAAAGCGTTTGTGTTATACGTTCCGTGTCCACCACATAGGGTCCTTGTCCTCATCCTTGTTTGTCCACAATCCCCTTAAATATTCATGTCCTGGCCGAGTGGGCGGGGATAACCAGTCTTTCTATTTAGGGCTTCATTGTGGAGTTGTGTTTCACAATTTCTCTGGGCTCCTGTGTGATTTTGAGCCCCAACACAATTTCCTATGTTATACAAAGGCTCAAAGGACAGTTTACAATAGTAGCAAACACTCTTTCGAAGACTCCTTTAACGTATAAATCCTAATGGTTACTCTTCGATAATGGCAGGAAACTGTTCCAGGGAGCAGTTGCAAGAAATTAATTAATTAGCTGTTTGGCCACTTGATTTGCTTAGATAGTCTTTGATATCTTTCTTTAGCAAATAAGCAGGACCTTGCTACAGCAGCTCAAGAAGTCACGGGGGACCTTTAATGCCACTGGCAGTTTGTTGTTGGCATAAGAAATCCAGAAACTGCTTACTCATCCATTTCTTCTTTTAGAAATAGATCAGACTTCATTTTGGTTTTTCTGGAAGGATTTACGTAGCATTCTTCAGTTTACTCAGAGCCTCCTCGTCATCTCTTCAAGTCAGTCACGGCCTTTTGAGCACCTCTCGCCTGGCCCGGCTGACTCTGGGGTGTTCTCTCAAGAAGTGCTGGCTCGCTAACTACATGTAGCTCCCGATTTGCATTTCCCTCATTTCCAGTCATTGATTGGATGTTTCAGCACTTGAGAAATCGAACTACCTTGCTAAGGACACCAAAGAGCATGTCACTAATGTGGTGGTGGTGGGGGGGCTTCCCCTTTTCAAAGGGACCTGATTCTACAGCAGTTTTATCAGTGAAAACCTTTTATTTACCCATCTTTACTTCCTCTCTCTGTTCAGTCAGAGCTACCGCTTGCAGGCCAGGGAGATGCACCCCAGCTTGGCTCTGAATCCTTCCACCAACTACAACTCCCCCAAGTTTCGCTCCAGGAACCAGAGCTACATGCGGGCCGTCAGCACGCTCAGTCAGGCCAGCTGTGTGAGCCAGGTGAGCCAGGTGAGTGCAACATGGTGGTTTCTGGGACCAAAGATTACTTCAGATTACTCTGAATTAATTCCACTTAAGTCCGATGTGATTCCCCGTTTCTCCTTTAAAGTGTCAGATCTTGTTAAATAACATAAAGACAAACTTTTGGTTTTATTCCATTTGACCGATTGATTTGGTATGGGGAGAAAAATGTTTCTAAAGATCTGTGCGTGTGTGTCTACATTTGTGTGTGTGTGTATCTAGATTTGTGTGTTTGTAACTCTTGATTTGTAACTTGTGTTTACATTTTTGTGTGTAACTTCACTTCTTACACATACAAATCATTGAATACACAAATAAAATCACCTTACACACGAACAAAACTACATTACACACAGATCAGTTTACAAGTACAAAATCCTTTTGACGCTATTTTCTCACCTGACTGATTTGTGCGTACATGGTGCGTTTGAATGCTGGGTGGAAGCTGGGAAATTTGAACTTCCTTTGGAATTAGTCTAAATTTGTGTTGACGGGACAAATATGTTTTTCTGTGGAAAAATATAGTATCTCAGGATCCTGTAGTTATAAAAGATAGACCTACATTTAATTTTTTATCATCTAAAAATGTTTTTTATACATACCGTATGTGTGTTTATGAGCCAATTAATGCTGCATTTAGTTTATTTATTTATTTATATATGTATCAGTTTACAAGTACAAAAATCCTTTTGACGCTATTTTCTCACCTGACTGATTTGTGCGTACATGGTGCGTTTGAATGCTGGGTGGAAGCTGGGAAATTTGAACTTCCTTTGGAATTAGTCTAAATTTGTGTTGACGGGACAAATATGTTTTTCTGTGGAAAAATATAGTATCTCAGGATCCTGTAGTTATAAAAGATAGACCTACATTTAATTTTTTATCATCTAAAAATGTTTTTTATACATACCGTATGTGTGTTTATGAGCCAATTAATGCTGCATTTAGTTTATTTATTTATTTATATATGTATTTATTTATTTTTATTAATTTATTAATAAAAAAATTATTATTTAATTTATGAATTAAGCTTAGTTTGCTCCACTTCATCACAAAAGAACAAAGGCAATGGTTCAAACATTTTATGGCCACAATACTTTTAAATAATTGAGTTTTTCGGCTGCAAACAGTTTTTGAATATTTTCAGGCAGCATTTTTTTATTTGCTTTGTACATAAATAGTGCAGCCCTAAATTCAATCAAATCTTTGAACTTTAAGGTTTGTAATTTTATAATCAAGCTATTTGTGTGTTCATTATATCCCACATGACTGACCAACCTCACGGCTCGTTCTTGTAACGTACAAAGTGCATATAGGGTGGTTTTATAGATGTTTCTCCACACTTCAACACAGTAAGTTAGGTATGGTATTATCAGTGTGCAGTACTGTGTATACAACGCCTTTTGAATCACAAAATGTCTTACTTTCCCCAACACCCCAATACTCCGTGCTACCTTTCTTTTAACATATTTTATGCGAGGTTTCCAACATAATTTGTGGTCAAGGATTGCACCCAGAAATTTATTTTCGTACACTCTTTCTATAATAATGTCATTTATAGTTATTGGCATTTGTGTGTTTATTTTACGTTTTCCAAACAACATAACTTTAGTTTTGTTTAAGTTTAATGATTATCTAATCAAATCAAACCATAGTTTCAGTTTAGCCATTTCTGTTGTTACCAACTTACAAAGATCTTGCAAATTCTCTCCTGAAGCAAAAAAAAAGTATCATCTGCAAATAAAACACATTTTAATGCTCTGGAAACCTCACACAAATCATTAATATATAAAATAAATAGCTTTGGACCCAAAACTGACCCCTGGGGCACCCCACAATTGATACTAAGCAGTTCTGACTTATAAATATTTATTTAAACAAACTGATTTCTATTGGTTAAATAACTTCTAACCCAACTGAGAACAACTCCTAATACCATATTTTTGAAGTTTATTAATTAATACTGTATGATCAATTGTATCAAAGGCTTTTTTTTTAAATCTACAAATACTCCAGCTGCATGTTCCCTCTTACAGTGTCTATAGAACTAGTGATTTCTTCAACAGTTTCCATTAATGCCAGTGATGTAGATCTATTTGTTCTGAACCCATACTGACTATTTGATAACAGATTAAAATTTTCAATGAATTTGTCCAGTCTATTGACAAATAACTTTTCTAAAATATTTGAACTTTGTAATAATAGTAATCATCATCATCATCATCATCATAATAATGCATTGAACTTATATAGGGCTTTTCAGGACACTCAAAGACGCTTTCACACACTGACAGTGATGGTAAGCTACTTTGTAGCCACAGCCGCCCTGGGGCAGTCTGACAGAGGCGAGGCTGCCATTTGGCACCATCGGCCCCTCTGACCACCACCAACACAGGCAAGTTGGGTGAAGTGTCTTGCCCAAGGACACAACAGCAGAATACCTCTGGCGGGAGCTGGAATCGAACCCATGACCCTTCGATCATGAGGCAACCCGCTCTACCACCTGAGCTACTGCTGCCCAAATAATAATGAAACTGTTCTATAATTAGTGAACTGCTTATTGTCTCCCTCTTTGTATAATGGCCATTATTATTTTACATGAAATAAACCAGCTGTGAAGGACAGATTACAAATATAAGTCAGTGGCTGCACAATAACTCCTATAACCTTCTTTATCAAAGGCATGTCTATATGTGTAAGCTGCATGGTGGCGCAGTTGTTAGAACTGTTGCTTTGCAGCACAAAGGTTGCAGGTTCAAAACTCGGCTGCAGCCTTTCTGCGTGGAGTTGCGTGTTCTCCACATGCATGCGTGGGTTTCCTCCGAGTACTCCGGTTTCCCCCACTGATCACAACATGCCCTATAGGTTATAAACTGTAAGTCTTTGGATAAAAGTGTCTGCTAAATAAATAAACATAAACATGTCATTCCAGTCTGTAGATGTTTTGCTTTGACAACCACCAACTATTTCAATAACTTCCTGCTCTGTTACCGGTGTCAAAAACAGAGAAGCTGGGTTGATTTCTATTAAGTCCTCAGCTCCTCCCCCTCCCTCCTCTAACTGAGGAGTACAAATTGTTTCAGCCAGTTTTGGTCCCACATTTACGAAGTAATTATTAAACTCCTGTGCCACATCATTCATGTTGTGCATAATGACCTCATTTTCCATAAAATATGGTGGGTAATTTTAACTTTTGGAGCTATTCCTAATAATTTTATTTAAAACATTCCATATCCCCATAATATTATTTTTATAATTTTCTAATTGATTTTCATAATCATCTTTCTTACAGCTTCTCATCATATTAACTCATTTATTTTTATATGCTTTATATTTTCAGCTTCCTTTGTTCTATGTTTTATAAAATCCCTAAATAATGTATTCTTTTTCTGACACGCATTTTAGTCATCCATGCTTTCACTCTACATTTATAATGTTCTTTATATTGTATAATTGGACCATATTTATTATACACTGATTTAAAGATGGGAAAAAAAGTTTCAAAATATCTGTGCGTGTGTGTCTACATTTGTGTGTGTGTGTGTGTGTGTGTGTGTGTGTGTGTGTGTGTGTGTGTGTGTGTGTGTGTGTGTGTGTGTGTGTGTGTGTGTGGGTGGGTGTGTGTGTGTGTGTGTGTGTGTGTGTGTGTGTGTGTGTGTGTGTGTGTGTGTGTGTGTGTAACTCTTGATTTGTAACCTGTGTTTACATTTTCGTGTGTAACTTCAGTTCTTACACATATAAATCATTGAATACACAAATAAAGTCACCTTGTACACATGGACAAAACTACATTACACACAGATCAGTTTACAAGTACAAAAATCCTTTTGAGGCTATTTTCTCACCTGACTGATTTGTGCGTACATGGTGCGTTTGAATGCTGGGAAATTTGAACTTCCTTTGGAATTAGTCTAAACTTGTGTTGACGGGACAAATATGTTTTTCTGTGGAAACATATAGTATCTCAGGATCCTGTAGTTATAAAAGATGGACCTACATTACATACAGGGTTAAATCATGACACGTCTCACCTTTATGTTATCATTGTTTTATTTGATGCACTCCACTTTGAACTGCACCAGTCCAGCCACTGCTGCATTTTAATAACTAGTATTAAAGGTGAATACACCAATATTTGCACAAGAATAATTTCTGTTTTAAACTCTCAGTGACACACTTTGCAGGGGGGGGGGTTGGCATTTAATTTTTCTTGGCGTCTGGAAAAATATCTCCTTTTGCCCCCTTTATTTGACTTTCTGCCCCCTTTATTTGACTAGTGCAGAGAGGAAACAACCCATAGAAACACTGATTTGATCTCATTTCAGAGAAAAATAGAACAGGTCAGATGCACCTAATAAATAAAATTACTAACACAAACTCAGGAATCTGTTTCTTTGCTTCATTGTTCTGGTGCTGAAAACATCACTAATGCGGATCAAAGGAGATACACAGATGAATGCATCTCTTATTTATTATTTGGAAATTAGTGGGTGTGGTTTACATCAATACATTATTTTAAATCTGTAATTGATATGGATTGATCAGAAGTTGCTATGTGTATTGTTTAGTTGAAAACTATTTACAGAGCAGCCTCAGAATTGAGATTAAATAGTTTTGATCACAATAGTAAAGGAACTATTACGGAACAAGTTTTTCAATAAAATCAGAACATTAATATTTAAGTGCATGAATTAATGCATCTGAACTCATGCAGCAGGAACTAGGAAATATGAAATAACCATTTTATTTCAATTTGATTAAACTGATTTTTTTCCTAACGTTGTTGGCATTTTTCCCACACACAGTTAAACAAAACAATGTTGATAAAGGTGTGCGTGTGTGAGAGAGAGAGAGAGGGAGAGGGAGAGAGAGAGAGGGAGAGTTAAAATAATTTTTTTAAAAACCCGACCGGAGCGGAGGCAGTGACCGACTCAGCACGAGCCGTTTTCAGCTCTGTCTTGTCAAATGCACCACATACGTTACGATAAAAGTAACTCTAAATATTGAACTGAAAAATAGGTGAGCTGAAGAAAACCTAGGGAGTTCTGAAGAAACGTCAGCAACAGTGAAGCAAGCACAGAGAGATCCGTTACTGTCTGTGTGTGCGCATGGATGCCTGGGCCGAGCTGACTGAGCTCCCGAGTTTTATGTGTAGGGAGGGGCAGGCGCTCTATGTGACTGGACAATCACAGAGCGTGAAGACAGTCAGTTACCCAATGAGGATTTTCCTTCAGCACGATTACAGATATTTACGAGTTTTACTCGTTTCATGCTCTTATTCGTCAAAAATGCTTTATCCGTACCGGACACGGCTCATCCTTAGCTGTAACCACCCTGCCCTGCCTCCTCCTCCTTGCTGCCTGCCGGCTGTGATCACAAGCAACAACAGAGTAGTTCCCCCTGCTTCTTCGGGAAACGGCGCAAAAAATTTAATACATAAATAAATAAATAAATAAATAAATAAATAAATAAATAAATAAATAAATAAATAAATAAATAAATAAAACTTGGGATCTTGTAGGCGTGGCGCTGGGATTTCAGCCGTGGCAGCTCGCCACGGCTACGCCTATGTAAGGGAAACACTGCCTCATGTAAACCCCTTATATCTCTATTAAGGTAGTGCGGCTCAGGGTTGCGAATGACCACAGTCACCAATTCTTGTGTCTTGCCCATGTATGTCTGATCTCTGAATTGTGTTTACTGAAACTCTAATTTCCTTCTGGGATTAATAAAGTATCTTTGATTTGATTGATTTGATTTGATATTTCTAAATATACCACTCTCACATCATCCTCGTGAACAATCATATCCTAAGGTCTGATGCTTGCAGAAAGCAAGAAAAACACTTTTTTATTATCTTGAATGATTAAAACGTTTAAATCCAATCTATTAATTTCTCCAGACTGACAGATGCTTAGGAGGGGAGACGGCGTGCTGACGGTTTGAGTTTCTTTCAGGTGAGTGAAGCCGAAGTGAACGGCCAGTTTGAGTCTGTGTGCGAGTCGGTGTTCAGCGAGGTGGAGTCCCAGGCCATGGAGGCTCTGGACCTGCCTGGCTGCTTCAGAACCCGGAGCCACAGCTACTTGCGAGCCATCCAGGCTGGGTACTCGCAGGACGACGACTGCATCCCGCCCATGGCGTCCACGGTCACCTCCACGATCAGGTCAACCACAGGTGAGCGCTGTTAGAGGTCAGAATCATCAGAACAATGCAGTAATGACATCTGCCTGGTGGAAACACCAAACTTTATGTGTGGGATGGCTGCAGAACAGTTAGTGCAAAGTAGCTTGCACCTCCTCTGCATGAGTCACGTTTTTGTGTTGGCATTTTTCATGGAGGCTTACACTTTAGCACTTGTGGGCGGTACCAGACACGGTCTTGGTCCAATCAGAAAGTAAAGCTATGAACCCTATTGAAAATCACAATTGCACTGAAACGAAAACCAAGTCAGAATAGGGACACAGCGTCTTCGTCCACCATACTTTGGATGTCTGACTTTCTGTATGGAGCTCCACGCCACATCACAGATTAGGACAGACGGGGCACTTAATCTACGAAGGGCATTTTTTAATTATAATCCGAGTTTAATCTGTGCAACAGGCACATTAAAATCAGAGCGTTGAAACATCTTGTCATTAAACTGTTTGCTTCTCAAGTTATTTTAAAACTCATTGTTGCTCACAGAGATCTAAACTGTCTTGAACTCAACACCGGATCGTCTAAAGCCACACTGGTAACAGAACTGGGACGCCAGTTCCAGACCCGACATGTGTCTGCCTCTGATTCTGGGCTTTGATCATAAGTTGTAAACTGCTGGTGGTGTAAACATTCCCGTGGGTGCTGGATTCACAGATGAAATCTCCAAAAAGACGAAGAGAAGAAGAAAAACAGCCTGGAAAGAGAAGCCTGGATGGACAATCCCTCCATAAGCTGGGTTCCCATAGGGAAAGTTAGAGGTCTGAACATCTGGAGATGTGCTTATTACCAAACTTTTATATATAATAAATGTTTGCTTACACTGCTTTCTCAACAACTTACCTACCCTTGACATGAATCAATTAGCGATTGAAATAAATTGGTCAAATTGGACTTCACAGTTTCAATAGGGTTCATGCTGTCCTTTCCTGGTTGAGTAGGAAATGTTTGGAAGCTTTGCTCATCTTTGCCTCTTTTCTCTGCACAAAATTAGCATTTTCTTTTCTCAGTCGAAACATAAGATTCTGCAAGGATTGAATTTAAAATAACAAATTTTCTGCAGAAACTGTCATTTTTTTCTAAGCTGCTCTTTGACATAAAATTTTTTTGGCTTTGTGCATTGAAAAGACATGAAGTATGCATTCCTCAAATTTGAGTTGAGAAGGCAGTGTAAGACCTTACATTAGATGAGTCAAAACAGGAGTGCTTTCTTCGTGTTTCGTAGGTTTTCTATACCATAACGAAAGCTCCAGAACAAAATAATGTCCTGATGAGCAAATTGGAACAATTTTCAAGATTTTAGCATCTGGATGCTGGATACTCCAGCTGTGATCTTGTTTTGACTCATGGCTTCCAGTGCATGATACGTTATTGTGCTGTAGCCATAAAACAAGCACATTCTCTCCAGTCGTTCACACCTGTGGCCTGATTACAGATGCATATCTACATTTGTCTTCCAGACAGAAATTATATGCAGGAAGATTCACGTTTGCCCGACCAGGAAAGTATTGATGAGGATTTGTCGGACACGGCTCCCCTGACTCACGATGATCTTGGCTGCCCCATCAGGAGAGACAGACTGTTCCACCAAGATCCAATGGGGGCTGCAGCAAAACCTCTGTCTGGGCCGCCTGTTTCTCCAAGCCTCTTCAGGTCACCGAGATCTAACGCCGCGGAGCGACCATTGCCAAAAGACATCCAGGCTAGCATCAAAGAGTCAGCCACTCTGGCTGCAGCTATCAGCATGCAGTGGAAGGAAGAAGTTTCAGCCATGCGTCGAGAGCTGGCAGAGCTCAGGAGGGACTTATGTACAGAGCTCCGTGCTTTCAACAGTAATTTCAACACTTTCACACAACATTACAACACATGGTCTCCCCAAGGTGGCGGCAAGGCGGCGGGCTCTAGTGCAAGCCTGGAAAAAGTGGCTGGAACTGGCTCAGGGACAGCAGCAAGAGCTGGGGCAGGCCTAGGGACCGCAGGACTTGGATCTCCTACCACAGAGAAAAGCTCTGGGGGAGCAAGAGAGAAAACAACCCTGGTATCTAAAGTATCAGTGGGAACTCAGGCGAGAAGCAAAGTCCTGGTCAGGCAAAGCACCGCAGATGCAGCGGTTAACTGTCCCGAAGAAAAGGAGGAGAAGAAAAGTGTTCGCCGAGGTTTACCCAAACAGCTCTCCATGGACCCGAGCATCCTCGCATGTCCTCAGTCCATGTTTGTAGAGAGTGCCATTCCACTTTCTTTAGATCCATTACTTCCTGGTTCATCTAGATCATTCCAAAGAGAGACATTTGACTCAGCTGCTGTACCTTCTACACCTAAACCGGAGCCAGATCCGGTACCGCCAGTCAGAGCGCTTACAGCCCCGTCAGATCTTGTCACGCATGAGCAAGAAACTACAGGAGATGCAGCTCCACTGCTGTCAGATAGAGCTCACCAAAGCCCTCGGGGGTCATCAACAGCAACAGAAGAAATGCTAATCACACCACAACTAATGGGTGTCATCCCATCTAATGAGTCCTGTTCTCAACAATCTTACCCTGATAACGTGAAATCCAAAGACCCAGAACTAATAGAAAGAGATAAGATCCAGCTACCACATCCAGTCCCAACAGTCACTGTGTCTCCGCCAGAGGAGCACGAGGATGGCATCGAATATTCAGAGCCTCCTGATTCTGTTGCTGATGATAAACCGCAACCTTTTCCCCAAGAGCCCACTGCCACGTCTCGGCCTATCTCAGGATTAGCAGGTTCAGAGTCAACAGAGAGGGGCTCAAAAGCAGCAAACCTGCCGACTGACTGTAAATCAGATTCTTTTACTCAACCATCAGTTTGCGATGTTCCTTCTCAACCGCGTAATATCGTGACATCGTGTGATTTACAGACATGTCCATCCATTGTGGTGTCAGAGTATCTTGATTCAGACTCACCTACGAGTCCCACAGACAGCGAAGCAGAGCTACTCCCAGCTATCCCAGTTCCTGATCATCCTTCGGAGTCTCCTCCAGAGCAAATCATAGCCATCTCAACCTTTGCTTCCGGGTCAGTAGAATCTCAACCAAACCCTGAACTCGAGCCCCAAGACTCAGAGTGGCCTCCTCTACCAGATCCACTGGACAACACCCCCATTTATCATTCTGATTTAGTCCATTTTGACTTAGTCATGCTGACTTCCTTGGATCAAGATGACCTTGACTCCGTTTTTATGGATCCTGAACCGGAGCCGTTTAATTTGAGTGCAGACTCTTCATTTAACACTGATGATTTGGAACCGCCCGCGTACCAGTCCGATTCACAGAGTCCCTCCACAGCAACCGTTGACCTCGACACAAAGTGCTTCATGGATCCATCAGCTGACTTGGAGTGTCCGGATCCATCTGTGGACGGTCCCTTATCTCACATGACTCATAATGTAGCCTCACAATTACACGAAGCCCTTTTTCCTCGAGTCATGGTCACAATATCCCCTCCCAGTTCTGTTTCTCCAGATTCATCCCTGGAAATCGACTTTGGACCAACAAGCCCAGTAGCAGATTCCGCTCAAGCTGACACAGAACCCTCGTCCCCAGATTTCCAAGAGTTTATGCAGCCAGATGATATCGTTGCAGAGACACTGGCGACTGCTGGGCTTGTAGAAGAGGAGACCTGGAGCAGTAGATCCTCATTTGAGCAGGCTTTTCTGTGGCACCGGTGGCAGAGGAGGGGCAGGAGGAGAGACTTGATCCAGAGGAGTGCCAGCGTGGAACTGTGGACTGGTCGATACGACTACAACAGCTCAGAAATCACATACGTGTCCCTCACTTTGTGAGCTTATACCTCATTCTCAGCAGACGAAATGTAGCTCTAGATAGGTTTATAGCTGATGGCTGGTAGCTGCTTGTGCAAAGGGGAGAGACGCAGATCTGGCCACAATTCCAGACGTCCCTCCACGCTACGTCCCTACGAAGAATGACTGCACTGGTGGCACTTCATGGATCACAGAAAACTAACTGCAAGGAATAACGCTTCAAGTGGAGACACTGACAACTTAAAAAAGGATGCGCCTCAGTGAGGCGGTTTCTATCGTTGTGAATCATCTTCCAGGACTCTGAGTTTGAATGTTCTCCTTAAAACTCTCAACCAAACTAGTGATGAATGTTTTTGTACGGTTACATCAAAAACGTCTTCAGCCTCCATGATTAGAGACTCTTTTGAAGAGCTCTGTCCTAAACCGTTACGTGCAAAATGTTCTGCGACAAGATCTCGACAATCTGCTCAACGACGGCTGATAAACCTTTTACTCCTCGACGTGTCCCGAGTGAAGTGAATCTCGGTAGTTATCATATAACTATAAACACTGTTTACCGCATGAGCTGTTGGATCTGCAGTCTCAGAGAAAAGAGAGGAGGTGATGCTGTGAAATGGCCTTTGCACATTATTAGAAATAGATTGGATACTGTCATGCGACAGCTGTGGCAAATGAGGGTTTTGAGCTAATTATGGGGTTCGGTAAATAGCTTAGAAACATGTAGAAGCTGCAAATTGACTTAAATCAAGTAAGATTTTGTTCAAATATTCATAAAAACTGAATATTTATTTCTTAATTTGTCAGAAAGTAGAAAACGATCAGTAAGTGTAGCATGTGCAAAAGATTAGTTAGTGGTTTATTTCTAAAATCTGTAAATTTTATTTTCTTAATTTACTGGATTTTTTTGGGACCTAAATATGGTTTTGCACAGGAGTGTCCATTTTATTTTTCATGAAATTCCAAAATAAAATAGCAAACAAGTAAAGTTAAGATATGTAGCCTCTCTGAATGCACAACGTCACCACATATTTTTGCTGGACTGTAAGTATATATTTGTTTATTTAACATGCTGAATCAGTGGTGTATATAAACTATATATATATATATATATATATATATATATATATAATTTTGTTCATCTCATTATGTAACTACAGACAGAACAGGCATTGTTTAAAGGTGATTATGTATTTTTTTTATTTACCTTAATGCTCAGTAATCAAAGACTGGGAATGTAAACCAAACAGGCAGATGTGTAACGACTTGCTGATTCTTGTTTCATCCTAGAAAAAAAGAATTGCACCGCTGTGTGGCCATTTTTAAAACATGTGACAGTGAATGATGAAACTGTTGTAATGGTGCATGACTGATGGCCTCGATGTTTTGTGCATTTCATCTACTGTGCCTCATTGTTCCGTCTGTGGTTTTGTTTTGATGTTCAGCACAATGAAAGGTGTCGTCATGCAGCCAGAAACGAACATTATGATCTCTGCGCTATCTTCCTGTTTAATGGACTCTACACGGGATCGCCCACACAAGGCTACGCTTTAATGAAGTGCAATGGAACAATATAAATTATTAAGCAGTACATCAGTGAGCTACCAGAGGAAAATTTCCCCGTGCGTTGTCTTGAATTAAATATGTGCAGAGCACTTTATGAGAAATCGTTTCAAAAGTATGGGAAGAGAACTGTTTTTTCCTTTTCTACTATGTTTATTTCACCCGCAGACATAAAGTGCACACTTAAGAGCGTTTTTGCCGTTTTAGTCTTCCTTTACAAGAATGTTCTCTGACAGTAGCAGACGGTTGAAGTTGCTGTTGAGTTGTAACATCGGATTTAGCCCTGAAGCGCGTTACATGGCTATTAAAACTGATGATTCGTTTATTTTTATTTGTCATGACATGATGTGTTGTGTTATATCAATAAAAAGCAAACAAACACTTTGGTGTTTTACGAATTCAAATCCTTCAGCTTTTTGTAAAGTGACATGTCTGTGAATATCCGTGAAGAATCATTGAAATCATAGTGTGTGTATTTACTTGTCAACTCACTGTGTGTGACTCGTCGTTGCTTGTCATCTAGAATCTTCTGGCGCTGGTCTGGAACTGGCAACAGCCATGAAACTCACAGAGCAGTAGTGACATAGCAACTTTTTGCTTAGAAAAAGAAGCTGCAGTACCCAAATTTGACCACATGATGTCATTCTTACTTAATTCTTACATATTGCACCTTTAACTTTTGGTTTGAGGTGTTTAATTTGCCTTTGGTTTTCTCCAAATGTAGATGTGTGAGTTACGACCAATCATGGACAGCTTTGGTTTTTAGACAAAAAAGCTTTCTTTGGCCCACCTTTTCAAAAAGTATGCAGTGATTGTGTCATTCAAATATATTTAATTTAAAATGCACGGTCGACCTTGTGGAGTCTGAAAAAAACCGTTTCATCTACTTTTAGATTCTCAAACTTTCCAGTAGTTTGTTCTGCTGACAAAAATGTTTGACTTCTTCCACATTAACACGTGAAAAGGCTTTTGTGTTGTTTTAGGCGGGTGGAAAAGCTAAATGTGCATCAGAAAGGGATGAGTGCATGAAAGAGTAACACAAGTAATGAACTGTTTATTATTCCTTCTGCATCTTGTGGTCTTTGTTTCAGGAACTGACGTTTTAACGTTAGGTGTTTCTTAAAAACATAGGATTTCATACACGGGTTTTAGACTTGCACTTAGTTTGAAATGTAAAATCCTCATTGCCTGCACGGTCTCGTTGATTCTGATGGGAGTGTGTTGTGTTTTCTGTGTGATGATATCAGATTGTGCTATGTGTGCGGGCAAACGTGCCCACTCGTCTGAACATCACCCCAACTCCCTTGTTTTCAGGGATCCAGTTTTGCCTCCCCTTCAGCTGCAGCACAGATTGGAAGCCCCAGGAAACCCCAGGTAAACCACCACCTGGGGGTGTTTTTTCAGAGTTGTCGTTTGTTGAGACATGAGCTGTTCTGTGGTGAGACGCTGTTGAAAGTGTGAAGAGTGTGGAAAGTTTCACTGCCGTTGTCGGTACAAGATCTGCTCGGGTGCAAAATCGGCTCGGGGTCCGTCGACTGCCGATGACGTCTAAGTAGTTGATTGGCTGAACATGAACCTTACGGAATTACGCAATCACGTTGCATTGGTCCAGGCAAATCTTTCTGTTGGAAAGATGGACAACTTTTACAAAGAAATCCATCATTACCTCTTTAAAAATACACTTTTAGCATAGAGCTGCATGTATATTAGGGCTGAACGATTAACTGCATGTGCAATTGAATTGCAATGTGACAAAAGGAGATTTTCTAATCGCAAAGGCTGCAATTTGGCAGCGAGTGGTTAGCGCAATGCTAATATACATGGAAAAACCCATAGGAATGTTAATGCTAATATTGCCGATTACATTATTACAAATTATGAATTAGAAACGTGCCAAATTATTACATTTGGAGTCTAATAGAAAGTAAAACTACCATCAATCAAATAAGTACAGACAGGTATTTTAGTAAAGCCAGAAAACTTTTAACTCCAGAGTTTTGGCTAGCAGCTATGAGCGTAAATATACGCATGGACAAGACGTTAAAAACTCTAAACACAAAATACTTCAATAAACGGGACACACTTCTTTCCTGCAAATACAATTTCACAGGTGTTGCTAATACCTATGATCCTTCAAGGGATGTGCTCAAAGAGGAGTTCAACATTATGAATAAAATATAGTGTTTTACTTTACAAATACCATTATAAACACAAACTTACGTCTTAAGAAACATTATTTTAATAACGAAACTGCTAAATTCTTTCCAACAGTATAGATGTGTAGTTTATTTTGTCCGAGTGGGTTTGCCGTACTTTGACGTCATCGGCAGTCGAAGGACCCCGAGCCGATCTTGCACCCGAGCAGATCCTGTACCGACACCGTTCCTCCTCAAAGCTAAAGAATGCAAAAAGAGAGACGTGACATCAGCTAAAAAAGACAGATCTGAGCACATTCATTCATTCATTCACTCATTCATTCATTCATCAATGAGGTATTAGTTTTGGAAGTTTCTGTATTTTGTTCTTTACAAAAAGCAGCCTTTTCAGCCAGCCCTCGTCTCGACACGTGTAATTGTTCAGAGTGCTTTCTCCGCCGTGGCTCGGCATATTTATGATTGCGTCGTTTTCTGAAGCCTCCATTCTAACTTCTGCAATATCAGTCAGGAACACGCTGACGCACCTCCCATCATTCAGTTCCCCAGTGATCCGTCCACTTGACAGGAGGCCAGTCTGTTTTCATGAAGGCTGAGGTGAAGAGCACAGTGACACACATCTCACCGGTGACAGACACTTTTCGGTGTGCTGCTCAAAGATGGGGAGGGTGTCTCCATTAGTGGGCTCGGAGGCTATTATTTAAACACAGACTTGACTCTGTGACTTTCTTGAACAATAAAACAGCGCCTGACTCATTATATGCAAGTGGAGGCCTGCCCTTGGTCCACAATTCACAAGGAACTGGCCGTGAAATTATATAAGCTGTCTTTTGTCGCAAACACCACTTTTGTACTCATGATTCATTGCAGGATTCAATATTTTCAAACTTCTGAATCCCCCACAGGGTTGGTTAAGTAAGTTTGAGTAATGACTCACTCCATCTGCGTCTTGTTATCAGTTGTTTGATTATTTTTGCGTTTAGTTTCCTGCCTGTTTTTGTCTGCGAGGCTCATGATAGCGGAGTCCACCATCCATCTTCCCCTCACTTTGCCTTTCTCCAACCAGGTCATTTACATATCTCTAAAAGCTATGTGCAAAATAAACTGCTGAGTTTCTTTTGCAATGACAAATTTCATTGGGGGGGGGGGGACTCCAAACATCCTGACACTCATCTACCAGCACCACTGCTGCAGTCCAGGCAGATACAAAGGTCCTAACAGAGGCGGAGCAGTGGCTTGGTGATTTGAGTTCAATTATGTGAGCCCACAAGGGTTGCCAAGTCAGTGTCTCCTAAAAGCAGCAGCGTTGTGGAAACCAGTAACAGGAGCGACCCAGAAGTTACTTCTTGTGAAGCTACGGCATATTTTTGTTTTACTCTACGTCAGGAGTAGACTAGGACCAAAATTCGGCCCTGGCATTTTTACAAATCGTCGGCCCTCCCCATTGGGAGAGCGGTGGGGGGTATTCCCGCCCGCGGACTCATCTCTAGGCCGAATGTGAGATCTAATATGGACTGGGACCGTTAAATTACAAGCAGGGCCAGGCCGCTGCAACCAGGAGCCCTGGCCTTCCAGATCAGCTCTTTCTCCACGGACGGAGATCAGCAGAACATTAGCTACATGCTAACGCGGTAAAACAACTCCTACGTCATCGCTCTACAGCGTTTTTCTTGCTAAAAATGCCTAGAAAAACTCTGTTAGCTTCGGGTTACCATGTAGCTAATGTTCTGCAGATCACCAACTGTGGAGTAGTGTCGGCCCAAACTGGGCTAGCAGCCCACTTGGCTAAGCGGCCCACCGGGATAGTGCCATAACTCCAGATAGGCCAGTCCACCCCTGCTCTATGTTAAGTAAGACTAGAGGCTAACGTTGAGCTAACAATGCTAGCCGGTAATTAGAAACAAATACTGTTTTCAGTTACCAGCAACCTGATATTACAGTGAAATATATTTATCTACTTAACAACTTACTCATCATGTAGAATCTTCTGGCGCTGATCCGTAACTGGCAGCAGCCATGACACCCACAAAGGGGAGGGGCTAAGAGCAGTACTCAGATGTGACCACAAGGTGTCGTTATTTTATGCACTTTTAAATATCTTCCTTTTGAAATGTTTTTTTACTAAATGTACAGGATTTATTTTATTATAATCATAAAATAATCAGTTGACTTCTGACGTGGTCTTACCTGTGGGTGGGTTTATCGTCTTGATCTGTCGTCATAAAGGCTTCGTTTTAGTTTTGATGGATAGCGATCTCTTTATATGTCCTTTTGAAAGCATCCTTCTGGTTTTTGTGAAGAGACAGTTTCACTCTATTAACTATTAGAATATTTTCTATCTGAAGGTTTTTTATGGGAGCTTTTAAAGACTTGTCCACAAATTTAGACCTTAAA